AGTTTTTTGTAAAGCTTGTGTCAAAATAGTTTGTGAAAAAAAAGTTCAAAGTGGTTCAGCACGTGAAAACATCATTGCAGAAAGCCAAATTGCAAAAACAAAAATCACAACCGGTTTAACAATAAGGTTAATTCAAAACAACGACAAAACAAAAAGTGACAAGGAGGTATTTAATCAGGACTTGTGCAAAGCTCTTGTTGCGACAAATATTCCATTAAAAAAGTTACAAAACCTACATTTAAGAGAATTTTTACAAAAATATTGCAATCAAACCATTCCTGACGAATGTACACTCAGAAAAAAAATGTACATGCTATATATACAAATGTAATAGAAGAAATTAAAGTTTTACTGGATGATAGCAATTTTTACATCATTGTTGATGAAAGCACAGATGCTTGTGAAAGATATATGGTACATCTTATGATTCGAGCCTTAAAAGAAAATGAACCAGGTATATCATATTTAATTGCATCAAAACAGAAAAAACTAACAATACAACTGTTACCCGATTTATTCAACAACCTTGACAACAATTTTAGGTATTTTTAACAAATATGCATTTGCATATTTAGGCATAATTGGACAAAATTGCTGTATATTTTTGGTAAAAACGATGCATATATACACGCATGTTTTGGTAATATTTTGTTACATATATTTCGCCCTCTACATATAAATGTAGAAAAAATTAATGGCTTACAGGAACATGCGTTGTTAGAGGTTAGTAAATACGTATTTAATACATCATATAAGCATTTTTGGATCAAATTTCGTTTAGCTAAAATCAAATATAAAAATTATGATAATTGTGATGGCAATGAGGAAACAAAAACCCAAATCCCGTGGTGGGGAAATAAATAAAAAGCCAAATAGATAGTGGTGGGAAAATAAACAAAAACCCAAATCAGGTGGTGGGGAAATGCGTAGGTAGTTGCCAAGTTATAGATAATTAAATTTTCACTTTAGTTTAGCTGAAATCAGTTAGAAAGAAACTGTTGGCATGTGAACGCTTGTCACGGTAACGGCTAAACAAAAACCCAAATGCCGTAGTGAAGAAATTCGTATCAACCTAGGTATAGATTATCTAAAATCAGCTATGCAAAAACAAATGCCATAAAAACACCTGTAATGGAAACGATTAAACAAAAACTCAAAATCATGTTTTAAAAAATGCGCATTTGTCAAGTTTTTATGATTTAATTATTTTTTTTTTGTTTCTAATTGAACGCATACGCATTGCGTCGCCCGCTTACCCTTTATTAGATTTATTGATATTAATTTTTTACTCGCTCACGCAAAATTATGTGCAAATATTATTAGGTTACTGATATTTATTTTTGACTTCTAATATTATACAAAATGCGCGCCCTTTCTGAGCTTTCTACAACTGTCACTAAAAGTGGGGGTTTGTTCCAAGTTAAAGATGATTTAATTTCATTTAGTTTAGCTAAAATCAGGTATGGATCAACCGTTGCCACGGGTAAGAACCTTAGATTAAAGAGACCGAAGATGTAACATTGCACACTGCGCATGTTGTTTTTTAACCCCCAAGTAACCCACCAATTGAAAATCATTGTTTCACGATGCTACCAAAATTTCTCCAATATTTCTATTCAGTTCAATCACCACTAACAGCTGTCTTTTGAATTATTTGTTGGTGTTTTAGCAATTTAAAGTGTTCTAGTTATTTAATTTCAAGTTGAAAATGCCACGATGTATCGTAAAAATTGTGTATACAAATGATATAAGTGCCAATGTTATGAAAAATAAGAAACATTATTTTTCAGTGGTTGAAAATAATCGATTATTTTAAAAAACTCGATTTATCGTTTAATCGGCTTTTTTAATTAATTGATTATTTTCGATTATTCAAAGGTATTAGAATAATTTTTTTTAAGAAAATACGAAAATCATCTATTATATGAAAATTTTAAATTATCGATATTTCGGTTATTTGTGTGGAATTATCGATTTATCGGTTAATCAGCTTTCTAATAGTCGATTATTTTCGATTTTTTAAAGATAATCAAATAATCGATTTTAAAGGAAATACGATAAAACTAGATTATTTGATAATAATCAATTGATTGAAAATAATCGATAATTCGTTTTTTTTTTAAATTGATTTATCAGTTAATCGAATTTTTAATTAATCGATTATTTTCGATTTTTCTAAAATGAACGAATAATCTGTTTGAATGGACATGCGAAAAAAAAATAGATTATTTTAAAATAATCGAATATTTAAAATAAACGGTAATTCGTTTATTTTTTGTACATACTGATTTATCGGTTATTTGGCTTTTTAATTAATCGTTAATTTTTGATTTTTCAAACATAATCAAGTACCTAGTCGATTTTAAAGGAAATACGAAAAAATATAGATTGTCTGAAGATAATCGATTGATCGAAAATAATCGATTATTTTCAATTATCGAAAATTTATTTCAATCACTCACCTCTAGCGACCAAATGACTTTAATAGGTCTATTTTAAAATGTTATCTGGTTTCAGACATATGCATTTCTAGAGTTTTATGTGACTCATCCTCTATATTAATTAATATTCCTAAAGAAAAAAGTTTTAATATACATTTTTCTGAGGTTACAATACAAAACAGCATTTTCTCATTTTGACTAATTTTTAATATTATGTAATAGCCGTAGAAAAAATGTAATGTTCATCTCACAAGGTTTGATTTGCAGTATTCGCTTGCGCACATGCTTTTTTATAATCTCGTAGACAATGAGTACCATTTCTTGTCCTATTAACAATATTCTATTTCAACATTTTACTGTAGTCTCTTGCAGAAAAGTCCGTATTAAATAAACGCTAACGAAATATTCTATAAAAGTTCTTATCTTTACATAAAATATCGTGGCATCTGTTTGATATTAAAACATGACGTTAATTTTATTTCATAATACAAAATTCCATTAAACATCTTTTAAGTAAATCTAATGGTTCATTATGATGCTAATAAACAAAGTCCGTCCCTGTCACAGAGTTCGGGTGTCCGCCCAGTTACCCACTCCGTTAACATTTCTTTAGAAATTTGCAACATTTGCGCAGGTTAAACACCGGTGTATGTTATATCTCTGGTCTCTTTTATCTAAGGTAAGAACTAAACAAAAACCTTAATCTCATGGTGAAAAAAATGGATAGTTGCCAAATTATAGATAATTTAATGTAACTTTACTTTAGCTGAAAGGCATTTTTGATGCAACCTACCTACTGGCCTTCTATCCATTGATTTCATTTTATATTGTACTAAGTAGTTAAAACGGTTGTAATGTTTAGAATTTTTTAATGTAAATACTTTCGTAAATAGAAACTTTTTGAAGCAGCGTAAATTCATAAAAATCATTTAAAAAAAATTATATTAATTTTTAATGTTCTAATCACAGTTCTAATGTAACTGGGATATTAATTATGATTGTATTATTATTACCTTTAGAGGGCATACTTACGATCGTGTAGCCAGCGTGTAGAGCCTCTTTGGTAAGGGATACACGTGTCGAATACAATCATCAACTGCATCATATGATATACACGGAGGTTATAATTATTTTTATATTACTTAAAAGTAATAATAACTATTGTCTGTAATAAGCACTACAATAACAGAATATAACCACTGGCCTATCATGTGATTAGTTATATATTAAGGTTATGTGGTGCATTGAATTAGTAATTAAATTAGCTTTCAAATGAAGTGGCACACTTTATAATACGTTACAGCTTGTTTTATTCCGATAGAGGGCGCTAAAATTAAAAGTATCGCAATAAACGGTCATATTTAAAATTCTCCATAAAATTACCTTTTCAATGATGTGCTATACATGGTACATTCCTTATTTAAAATTAAGATATTGGAGAAGTGCAAGGGAGGGGGTTGACACATGACAGATGTATGTATTGTAAGAATGTGTTTAATTTGGAATAAAAATCAACCCGTTTTAGCATTTTCTTAAAATTCACTAATTAATGCTGAAAAACAGAATGAAGCTGTTTTGAGTGACCCACTCTGTATATCAAAAATGGCTATATTTATTGAATTAGTTCATACAACAAAATCTGCTTAAAAATGTATTTTTTATAAGATGCGCTACACAAGAAAGATCCTTCCATCGAAAAAAAAATTATTGAGTGCAGCGCCATCTACATATTGATCTATTTAAAATCAATTTATATCTAAAACTAAAGCTCTCTTAGTGCCCTGTAAATTGGTTTTCACATAATTAAAATATCTCTATTACTTACCAAAATATCCGGCATGGGAGTTTTTATTGATACACCCTGTATATTTAAAAATGCTTACTGATAACGATGCATAATAAATAATGCCATTTTAACCTCAATTAACTGAAGTATATAAAATTTAATTAATTTTCTAAATAACAATTTTAGCATCTTCGGTTATTAAGTATGATGTGTGGACACTGTGTACATATTTTTATTTCTTAACAACTTTTACGTTTGGAACTTTTTCGGTTTTGGAGATATAAGATAGGTACCTATACTCATTTTGGAGAAAATACGCCCACTCGTCTTTTTAACACGCTTAACTTTATTTTCCTAAAATGACAAACCCGATGTATTTTCATTTTCAATATAGAGTCTAGATAACAAGTTTCACATCGTTAAAAGATTTTGTTTTTGAGATTTAGTTTTTTTAAGTAAACACAAATTTTCAACCTCTTTTAAAAGGAATTTACTTAAAACCCCCTTCTCGTATCTATTTATAGTTATTTATAAAAACATTTTGACATTTCTTCCGAATTATCAAAACAGGAACATTTTATTTGACAATTTTAAATATAAAATTGAAACAATTCAGTAAAAATGCAAAAATGTAATGAAATTCAGAATTGAAATAATCTCCTAAAATAAACTTTCTGAAAATGGACGTTCAAATATATGGACGTTCAAATATCAAAAATTTGAGCGAACTTTCACTGTACTATTAGTTTTTCTTAATCGCAAACTCCCATCTAGTCTACTATGGAAATAAATAGTTTTGACACTTACTGCAACAATCAATCTAAAATTTTACTTGTCAGTAACACAAATTTAATTTATAAAGTGAATTAAAATTAATAAAAATGTGGTCAAGTGTACGATCAGCCCCGTTGCACGTACGAAGAACTTATTTACAATCTAAAGAATTCTTATATACTACAAAATATATATCTCAGTCCGCATCTCAGGAACCAACTGTAGCATCTGCTGGAGAGGTAAAAAACGTCACTGCTGTAAATGAAAATATTAAAGCTAGTCCCTATTTGTCTGCAAGTTCAGTGATGAAGACTGAAACGATACCGTTCGATGAAATTCCAGGGCCCGTTAGCCTACGGCTCATATCAAAATTTTGGGGAATGATTCCAATAATGGGTACCGAAATAACCGTAAGTGTTGTCCAATATTTACTAAGCGGTGGAAAATTTTTCGGAGGAATTTTGTCATGGGGTGGTAACGCACCGTTTTTCAAAAAATTCTTCGATGTCTACGGCCCTGTTGTCAGATTACACGGTGCTTTTGGCAGCGATGTTGTACTTTTGTCTAGACCTGAACACGCAAGCGCTATTTTCCAAAATGAAGGGCCGCATCCAATCAGATCTTGCCTGGAATCTTTAGAAAAATACCGATTACAATGCAGGAAGTACCGACAAGCCGGACCGTTTCTCACCTACGGCACTGAATGGGAAAAACTTAGAAAATCGATAGAGCAACCTCTGCAGTTATGTGTCGAAGAACAGTTTACGCAAATTGAGAAAATAAACCAAGCTTTCATCGAGAGAATATTAGTGATACGTAATAAACAAGAAGAAATGCCGAACAATTTTAGAATGGAAATAAATAAATGGGTTTTGGAATGTCTTTGTTCAGTTACTTTAAATCGATCAATAGGTTTCTTAGAACCGTCTGGTTTGATTCCCTCATCAGATCCTGGACGACTTTTGGATGGGTTATTTGGGGCGACAAACGCAATCAGAAAACTAGAATACGGTTTGCATTTATGGAAGTTTTTCGAAACGCCAGCTTGGAAAAGTTTAGTAAAAAATTGCGATATGATAGAAAGTGTTCTTCGAAAATACCTTGATAGATCTAAAGATCAATTACAGGAAAAGAAAATTAGAAACATGTCATTAGATAAAGTAACCCTAATGGAACATCTTTTGCTAAAAGAGAACATCATAGAAGACGATGTCATGACTATAATGCTAGATTTGTTCTTAATTGGTGCAAATGCAACGGCCCACTCTGTTGCTTTCTTCTTTTATAACTTGGCAAGAAATCCGCGTTGTCAAATGAAACTTTTCGAAGAAATCAAAAATGATGAGGGTACCACTACTCCAGCAGCATTAAAGGAATACAAGTACCTTCAAGCGTGTCTCAAAGAAACGTTAAGATTAGATCCTCCCATCCCAATTTTAAGCAGAGTTTTGAGCAATGATACCATCATCAATCACTATCGTATTCCCAAAGGTACGCACGTTTTATTTGCAGCACATTTGAACAACATGCGCGAAGAATACTTTGAAGATGCAGAAAAATTTAAGCCGCAAAGGTGGTTGAGCAATGACGCTGGGGGATTTGGCAACGAGTTCCAGAATTTTGCTTCCATGCCGTTTGGTTACGGACCGAGGAGTTGCTTGGCCAAGGAAATGGCCGAAACTGCGATAACATCGCTGATTGTAAACGTTTGCAAGAAGTTTAGGATCGAGTACAATTATGGGGATATCAAGAGTTCTAATGAATTAATGGCGGCACCTACGAAGCCTTTGAAATACAGGTTTATTGATAGATATTAAATAGTTTTGTTTTGTTGTTATTAAAGTTTGTATAATTTGTAATTATTGTAGTTGATTGGATTGGTTAAATTGATTAATTTTTGGTTAAAAACTTAAACCAATGTATATTTATCACAAAGCATTTGTGTTTGTAGAATTGCATTTCAATTAAATTTGTTAGAATTATGAACAATGGTAATCTTTTGTAGTATTTTTTTTTTTTGTTACAAATAGATTTTTATTTGGCAAGTTTCGGAAATGTTAAATAAAAAGAGATATGTAGGTATAATCTCAATTTTTTTAGAATAGGGATAAATATCAAATAGTTTTTCTATCAGCTTTTAGGTAAAACCAGAGATTTAGTATACCTTATTACCCCCATTTTTTTTAAACTTTTCACGTTTCCGATCATTTTGAGTCCGAAAATGCAAAAAAAAAATTTTCGATTTTGATTTTCTTGTATAGTTGCTTGTAACTTAGAACTCTATTAATTTTCAGAATTTTCGGTTCATCCTAACTACTTTAATATTAATTTTCTTAAAATCCTCCCATGCACTTCTAATGCGACTAATTTTACCATTCCTAACATCTAACATTCATAAGATTCTTAACATTCCATACATTGCAAACATTCTCCAACAAGAGCTACTGATTGTAAAGGTGATATTTCTAAGGGGGGTTGCGACTTTCATAGTTGCAATCATATACTTTATTTAAAATTATAAAAATAATAGTAGTTGGATGTCCAAAATATGACCTGTGATTGGTGGATTTCATATTTTTAGAATGGATATGAAATATATTCGTTCACTTGAACGCAATGTCGTTTTGTAGTCTGTGCGTAGATAAGCTAATATCCATGCAGGTGTAGAAAAAATATTAGTAGCTAGTTGTTTGTCCAAAATATGAACTCTGATTGGTGGATTATATTTGTTTACATTGTTCTTACTACCTAGAATGGATATAAAATATATTTGTTCAGTTTAACGCATTAGAATACTTTTTCGTTTTGTAGTCTGTGTATGAGGGTGTAGAAAATTAATAGTTTGTGCAATAAGAGTAGATACAGACACTTGAATTGTACAGTATATTTTTTCTACGACCCACTAAAAAATCGAAAAATCGAAAAATCGAAAAATCGAAAAATCGAAAAATCGAAAAATCGAAAAATCGAAAAATCGAAAAATCGAAAAATCGAAAAATCGAAAAATCGAAAAATCGAAAAATCGAAAAATCGAAAAATCGAAAAATCGAAAAATCGAAAAATCGAAAAATCGAAAAATCGAAAAATCGAAAAATCGAAAAATCGAAAAATCGAAAAATCGAAAAATCGAAAAATCGAAAAATCGAAAAATCGAAAAATCGAAAAATCGAAAAATCGAAAAATCGAAAAATCGAAAAATCGAAAAATCGAAAAATCGAAAAATCGAAAAATCGAAAAATCGAAAAATCGAAAAATCGAAAAATCGAAAAATCGAAAAATCGAAAAATCGAAAAATCGAAAAATCGAAAAATCGAAAAATCGAAAAATCGAAAAATCGAAAAATCGAAAAATCGAAAAATCGAAAAATCGAAAAATCGAAAAATCGAAAAATCGAAAAATCGAAAAATCGAAAAATCGAAAAATCGAAAAATCGAAAAATCGAAAAATCGAAAAATCGAAAAATCGAAAAATCGAAAAATCGAAAAATCGAAAAATCGAAAAATCGAAAAATCGAAAAATCGAAAAATCGAAAAATCGAAAAATCGAAAAATCGAAAAATCGAAAAATCGAAAAATCGAAAAATCGAAAAATCGAAAAATCGAAAAATCGAAAAATCGAAAAATCGAAAAATCGAAAAATCGAAAAATCGAAAAATCGAAAAATCGAAAAATCGAAAAATCGAAAAATCGAAAAATCGAAAAATCGAAAAATCGAAAAATCGAAAAATCGAAAAATCGAAAAATCGAAAAATCGAAAAATCGAAAAATCGAAAAATCGAAAAATCGAAAAATCGAAAAATCGAAAAATCGAAAAATCGAAAAATCGAAAAATCGAAAAATCGAAAAATCGAAAAATCGAAAAATCGAAAAATCGAAAAATCGAAAAATCGAAAAATCGAAAAATCGAAAAATCGAAAAATCGAAAAATCGAAAAATCGAAAAATCGAAAAATCGAAAAATCGAAAAATCGAAAAATCGAAAAATCGAAAAATCGAAAAATCGAAAAATCGAAAAATCGAAAAATCGAAAAATCGAAAAATCGAAAAATCGAAAAATCGAAAAATCGAAAAATCGAAAAATCGAAAAATCGAAAAATCGAAAAATCGAAAAATCGAAAAATCGAAAAATCGAAAAATCGAAAAATCGAAAAATCGAAAAATCGAAAAATCGAAAAATCGAAAAATCGAAAAATCGAAAAATCGAAAAATCGAAAAATCGAAAAATCGAAAAATCGAAAAATCGAAAAATCGAAAAATCGAAAAATCGAAAAATCGAAAAATCGAAAAATCGAAAAATCGAAAAATCGAAAAATCGAAAAATCGAAAAATCGAAAAATCGAAAAATCGAAAAATCGAAAAATCGAAAAATCGAAAAATCGAAAAATCGAAAAATCGAAAAATCGAAAAATCGAAAAATCGAAAAATCGAAAAATCGAAAAATCGAAAAACCGAAAAACCGAAAAATCGAAAAATAGGCAATAAATAGTGACATTTCACATTTGACATTATGTTTAACAACAAAAAAATAATATCTGTAAATTGTGTTTTATTTTTTAAATAATGAACGCCTTTTTGAAAACAGCCCAGAAATGTTGAGGGTAAAATTTTTAAGGATAACGGATGACAAAATTAGTGATAAACAAGATCATGGATCAACTTTTTTAGTAAGCGTCAAACGATAAAACTCTATTGATTAAGGTTTTTCTACAATCAGGGTTTTATTTCTTAGTCTTTATTGATGTGCATAATGGAAGCTTGTTCGGCATGAGATACATTGCATGAAAATTAGTGTTTTACAAGACTGATTAGCTTTTTAAGTAAATATTTCCAAAACCAAGACAAAAACAACCCGAAAATTTTTAATTATCGAGTTTTTTTAAAAATATGTAAAAAATACATCAGTAGTCGTCCAACACTACTAGTTTTAAACTATCAGAATGATAAATGCACAGCCCAAAGAATTGGTATTAATAAATTTATCAAAATGAAATAAGATGTTGCCGCTTTTTTGGAATCATTTTAAATTTTTATACGTAGGTAGGCTTAAGCGACAATGGGCGCAAATATTTTTACATGAACAGATCTAAGGGAGTAAAGGGATCATAAAATTTTACATGGGCTATTTGAAAGGGACCAATTATTTTTAGATAAATAGGCGAAATAAGAAGTCCAAATATTTTACATGAGCAGGCTTAAGAGGTAAAGTGGCCAAATATTGTTGGATAAATTGCTCGAACAAGTTTGTAAACCCTAATCAAAAGGCGATATAGAATGGTTTTAAAAATCAAGGCTTGTTAAAATCATCACATTCAACGTCTTAATACTACTATCGGCTTTCGTTCTAAGTCAAGTCTTTTCTCGTTTTTACGCTATGAGTTTCCCCTTGTGGGCCTCAGTCTCGATAAGGTGGGAACCACCATTTTAACGTCTCTCAAATTATGATAGACAGGATAGAAGATCAGACTTATGCAGTGTCTTAGGTATCAAGTCAAATAAAAATGTTTTTTTTTTAAATATCTAGAATTAAGCCGTTTTAAATGAATGAATGGATGAATGAATATTATGTTTAATTAGAAACAGCCGAAACTTTTTTCTAAGGCGATCATAAGCGTCTTAATTTTTTTCTCTAATTTTTTGACATTAAAATAGAAATCTAAGGTTTCACTTAAAAAAGTTACTGCTGTTCGACGTCGTCAAGAAGCAACTACCTTTTGAGGATTCTCTCCTCTTCGGGCCTTTTTCCTATTTCGACGGTGAACGAATGTTGTGCAGGCTAGTGGCCTAGTGATATCGTCATCCTCCAACGCTTTAAGGGTTGCCTCTTCCCAAAGTTGGGTGATTGTGACAAGTCTCGTAACCAGTCTGCACTGACTTGTCCCGCGCAATCTTGGACTTTTCCTAGTCTCTCTGGCTTATTTTGATCTCCGGGTACCCTATTGATACTACTGCAACCTTCACTGAGGCAAGGGCCTCTTTGAAACGAGACTTCGTCTATCCTGGCCTTCTTCCTCAGTCGGCTGACCTGTGGCGGTGTTGCGTCTGTTGACCTCTGGCGCTGTAGAGCTTCTGTGTTATACTTGGCGGCTTATTTCGACTTGATATCTTGACACTCTAGCCGGGCTTTTGTGGTTTTGTTTGGCCCCTTTAAAAATTTTCCCTAATTACCTGCCTTTTTGCGACTGTGTAATCAAGGCCAGTTTTCAAGAGCTTCTGTATCCTCGATCTTGATTGTTCACAAAAACGGGCAGAGATTACCTCGTCCTTGGGCATTTGGTCACCCTCTTGCAGGGAGGAGACGATGACTTTATGTCTCTTTGCCAGCTTTCATCACTGTTAACTAGGCCTTATTATGATTTCACAGAATTTTAGTGTGATATGTTTCATTTTGTTTTATAATATTTTAGAAGCATGACATATTGTCAATTTATAATAATGTGTTTATATTTAAAAGACTATCCATGCTTTGTATAACGATACTGACTTTAAGTTTTCACATTTTTTTATCCTGTAGTTTATAAAAGAATTGAATTATTGATAAATCCAGTAATTTAAATAAATCCGGTTTTTACGTTACTACTTAAGCTCATTTTTATTGATTCTAAATAGAGAAAGTGCTTCTAATATATGTAATATCAAATATCCCAGGGCACAAAAACAAATATTAATGAAAATAAAAGTCGTGCATGACTTTCGTTATTCATTAAACCGGTTCATTTTTTTTTATTGGCATCCGTTATGAAATGTGATGCAATATTATGTTCATTACCCACTAGAATTTAGGCCACTCACTGTGTTGCTAATAATGGTATCGCTTCTTAAGTGGACTTACTTTTATAGAAAATACAAACAAAGTTGGTAGATGACTCATTTCATGATAGACCGTTTAAAACATTTTTGGATGA